CCAAAAAAATATTGTTCAAAAACGTAGTATTTTAGAAAAAAAAAAAATTATTAAAAATCGGTTATTAAGTATTGCACTAATGTTTGTCTATCTAGTGATATATAAGACATCATGGTATTAATTAAAATTTTAATATAACTAATTAGTCCATTATTTTTTGCAAAAAATTAATTTGAATATAAACAAAACAGTGAACCTATTTGGGTGAGCGGGAGTGTATTATCAAATTTTAATGAAACGTAGATCTCTTTGTTTTTATTTACATATGTATGTATATTTTACTTCGTAGAAAGATTAAAGCACCAGAGTGCACGAAGTGCTTATGTTGACAAAGAAAGAAGAAACTTTACAAAACGTAAATTGGAGTTAAATAACATTTAGGTACCTCCTAATTAGAATCTTTCAAATTGCCCACAATAAATTGGAATTATTTGGGGGTTGCAATATTATTGTATAGATAGCGATGTTATAGAATAAAATACAAGATTTATTATTAATACTACGCCTTCTATATCTTTACCATAAATGTTTGAAACACCCAAAAGGAGAATATAATTAGAAAAATTAAATAAAAGTACATTCATACACTGACAAACTAAATTATTGGCACAGAAAGAACTTTAAATTTATGATCGTTTTATTGGACTAGTTTTTCACAGAATTCACTTTGATGCTTTTTGGAATGCAAATTATATTACTATTTATTTAAAAAATGAGGAAAAATGTATTAATTAGGTTGAACAAAATTATTGGCACACTTCATAAAAAACTATTCGATATTGGATATTTGCAAAATTTTTTGCATTTAATTGCGAATCCATTTTATTTTATAATTATTTCAGAGATTTTGGTATAAAATTCACTAATTTTTGGTTAGCCCTGTTCTAATAATTTGCCTTTTTCTACATGTGTGTACTTCGGTCATTTTTATACCCTACACCACTATAGTGGGAAGGGTATTATGCGTTTGTGCTGATGTTTGTAACGCATTAAAATATTAGTACTATACTCACCTTAAAGTATACCGAACGATTCAGAATCACTTTCTGAGTCGATCTAACGATGTCCGTCCGTCTGACCGCCCGTGTGTCCATGTAAACGTTGTTATCAAAGTACAGGTCGCAATTTTCAAGATAATTTGCTGAAATTTGGAATACACGTTTGCTTTGACCAAAGGTTAAAATCGGTCCATTATTTCACCTAGCCCCCATACAACTGATCCTCCCGAAAAGGGCTTTTGAGCTCTTAATTATGTATAATATAAATATATCTCGATGAAAGTTCGCACAACTAAGTTTTATACAAGCCTTGATGACCTTGCCGAATTTCGAAATGATCGGACTTCATTTGACCCTAGCCCCCATACAAAGCCCCCTACAGAAAGTGAGTTGAATATCCGCAATTAATTAATTAGCACTGTTATTGCAATGAAATTTAGCTCATGAAAAATAAATCACATTTAATATTCATAACTGGTGGAGGGTATCATATGGCCGGCCAAGCCCGACTATACTTTCTTACTTGTTTTTTTTTAATTTTTGGCAGCTTTTTGCATGGCTATCAAACTATTCCAAAATCTATTCCACAAATCTTCTATTGAATTGATATCCGACTATTGTGTCGGATGTATTACAATATGAGAAACATTGGATGGAAGCCTTATACGCACAATATGAGATGCATGATTTCAATTATTATCGTCATGTAAGAAAAACGAGGCTATTCGCGACTTTGTGCGAGATTTTCTTTTAGAATATTTACAATCCAACATTTTCCCATAATATCGTCATTCCTAAAGCGAAAATAGTCCGCTAAAGCATAATAATGTTTTACATTTCATAAAAAGGTTAATTTTTCTAACTCAGTATTAATCTTTTTCCAAATCGCTTGGAGGCAAACATCGCTAGAGATATTAAACTTTTGTTCATCCGAGAACTGCACTTGTTTCCAAAAATCATTTGGGATCTTCTAAGCTCTTCTTATGGTTCAGTTACCTCATTTTAGAATGATTGTATGAAATACATACAGTGGTGGAAAAAATAATAGAAACAACCTTATTTTGCCGTAAAAAATTATTTTTCTGAAAAATTATCCGTTAGAATTTTATGTTTTGTATCTTAAATAAAAGGTACGATTCAAAGTATTACACTGGAGACATAAGCTAAAATTTTTTAAACTGCGTTTTTGTACTTATTTTACAAATTTTAATTGTGCTCTGACAGGTCAATTGGAGCCACGTCTTTCAAATTTTCTTAAATAAAAAGTTCAAACAGTAAAAGAAATTGCTTGACATTGTTAAATTACTTAAAAAAATTGTTCTTGGAAAGATTTCGAGCCGAAGAAGTTTTGAATCCGCTTACAGATAACCCCAGCAAAAAAATTTTGAAGTTGTTCAAGAAGAAGGGATATTTTCATGATTTCTTTAGTACGTATTCAATTTAATGCGTTTTAAATACATGCCTAAATTCTAATAAATTTGTCATAAGTGAAGGCATGAAAAATTGCACCGAATTCACTCATGTAACTCTACTATAGGAACTGTAATATTTCACTATAATTTGGTATACTCTTAGAATTTAAAGGAAACGTGCATTTCATACAATAAATTTAAAAATAACATTAATTTTATTAGACTTTTGTATTAAAATGGACTTAATATTAGTAATATTAAGTCCATTTTAACATCTTACTTAATAAGAGAAGGAAAAAACCAAGTTACCTGACTGATTTTAAATTATAATGGGTATTTTTACTCCGAATGAATTTTAATGCAATTCAAAATTAGTTTTATTTTGTTATCATATTTAATTTTTATCAATATCATGCAAAAATATTAATTTAAATATTAATAATTAATTCGTAATACCTTTAATAATGCATTCTAAAATAAATACAGTGCACCAATGAAAATTCGCTTGAGAATCATCGAATGTTCATTGGTTGTAAGTATGTACTCATTTTAATGCCGAACTATTTTTCCAAATACGAACCCATGCACGGCAATGACACGCTAATGTCAAAATCATGCATGTTTCACCTAAATATGAACCAGTTCATTATCAGTTGAACCCATGCATTTACTACTTTTTTTGTACGTCTTTTTTTGCTGGGACGGTAATCCACCGATTTTTGGACCAGATTTTGAGCAATATTTCACATTTTGACAACTCAACCCGTTATTGATGGTTAAAAAGGGACTTAAATATCAAAGGATCTTGGTAGACAGGTAAAATAAGTTAAATTTAAAACTAAAATTTCAACAAATGTAAAACTTTCGAAAATTAATTTTAAATTTAAGTATAGTACTGTTGAGGAATTAATACTAGTATATAGACCCAATACGATCTATTGCAAAAAGTAAAACAGAATGTTTTTAAATGAGGAAAATAAAATATGTTTTTTATTTCATTACCTTTTCTAAAATCTAATTGGTTTGTGTTATGAAAAAAATTACAAAGAATATTCATTCTGATGTTTTTATATAATAGGGTGAATTTTATCTAAACTTACGTTACAGTAAACTACCTACAATTCAAACTGAATTTAAAAATTTTTTAGATTTTGTGAACTTTTTGATTTAAATTCAACTTATTTTAGCATTATTTCACAAGTCCATCAATATACTTTGATATTTAAGCCACTTTTTAACCACCAAGAACGGGGCGAATTGCAAAATAGAGAAATATTGCTCGTTATCTATAAGTGGATTCAAAACTTTTTCTTCTCGAAATTTTCACAAAAACTAATTTTTTAGATAATTTAACCATTAGAAGTCATATCTTTCACTCTGTATTTTTCTTTAAGAAAACTTGAAAGTCAGGCCTCTGATTCAGCTGTCAGGATCCATATGGTAAATCAAGCTTCGAAAAAACAAATGTTTGCATAAAAATTAAAGTAAAAACTATACTTTTATATTTAGAATTTTATTTATAACTAAAATTTTTAAAAGTAAATACAAAACGCAGTTTAACAAATCTCAGCTTGTTTTCCCAGTGTAATCGTTTCTATTATTTTTTGCAATGCCACATTATTTAAATACCAATAAAATACGATGGAGCAAAAAAAAACTTAGAAACTCCATATATCATAACAAAGTAGACTTAAATACATTTTATTTAAGATACAAATCATCAAATTCTAACGGGTAGTTTTTGAGAAAATTTAGTTTTCACCACAAAATAAAGTCCTTTCTATTATTTTTTCACCACTGTATATAAATATAATATAAATACCAATAGCAGCACGACAATTTTACTTAGCCTATTCCAGTGCCCTCCGAACCGTAATTACAGAAACATCGATGCTAAACTCTTCATCAATCTGTATTATGGACATTTGCGGAACCACTCTCACCTTTTTGGACTATTTGTCTGTTTAAATGTTTTGCATTTTCAAAAAAAACGCTTCCTTAAAGGCAGCATGATTCTCCGAATGAAATTTATTTATCATATCCACTACAATATAGCATTTCTTAAATAAATATGCCTTGTTTACGCAAAAAAAGAATTTGTGTTCAGAAATTTTTTAAAAAATAAGTTAATTCTACGACTACTACTACTTTGACACGTAATAACTGTTTATTTTAGGAAGTAGAAATAATGGCAATTTCACCAAAAAAATTAGGACCATAAATTTTTACGATAGTTGGTAAGTGTGCCAATAATTTTGTTGGATACTTTTTTGAATGTTCAATAACAAATATGATAAACATTTTGTAATACATACAACAAAGTAAATTTTGTGCAGAACCTATCACTCTATCTAGTAAAAATGCCTCTTTATTGAAAATCTAAGTCATAATGTCATTAAATCTATCGGGAAGTTTAATGTGCTTACTGTGCCAATAATTTAGTTTGTCAATGTATGTATATCTTTTAATCGTTCTTCTATACTGATTTTTATATTTCAATTGAAATAAATTGTTACACCAGCTACTCATAAATACTATAGCTCCCAAACAATATCCAACAAGTTTTCGCTATTGTATAAAACAAACTCACCTACTATCTTTCCACTCCTGAGCGCATGCAACTTGTAACGGTTGCTTTCCGTTTTCCACACGACGCAAAGCATCCATTGGTAAAAACTCTAATACTGCACCTCCGACGTGGGTTAGAGATAATTTATTTTTATGGAAAACCATGTCCGGAAGATGAGGTAAATCCAAATTATGTCGATAAGTGCATAATTCGCAAAATTCATCCTCTCCAGCTTTACAAAATTCGTCTTGGCCTTTTTTGCAGATACTTTTTAGTATGTGAGATTTGAAATAACTTATGTGCCAGCCTTGAAAATCAATATTCTCCTGATCAACAGGCAATCGTGGAACAAGTTCATCCTAAAAAAAATGAAATAACCACAAATTTTTATTTTCTTAAGATTTTTCTTATAAAATACCTCCATTAAGACTATCAAAATAAAAAAACAGTCAAATACTTCTTCGGTACGCTTTGCTTTACTTTAATGATACACAACAAAATTGCAGGCATATTTATGACAGTTTACCGGCAATTACCATCAGAGCCCTGCGCCAACAAATATCACAGCGGCAGCGACTGACACTAAAAATATCGGCGGCGGCTTAAAATACATTTAAGCCGGCAAAGTTCTCAAATACATTTAATTTTTAAATTTTTAACGATTTTAAATAAAAACGGATACTGAGAGATAAAAAATGGGATTTTGGTGAGAAAATTATGTACGGAAAAAAATATATTTTTTTAAAAATTTGATTAATTCTTTTCTTTTTTATCATTTTATTTATTCTTTATTGAATCTTTCTTATGTAGAAATTTACAATAAGTATTAAAATCTTAACCTAAATTATAACTAATGTTGTTATTGCCAATGCAATTTCAACCAAGGATCTCGATAATTTGATTATCTGGAAAAATCCAATGTTTCCGTTCTACTCAGTCGTCTATGACCCTCAAATGACAGCAACTCCCTGGCAAGGGGATTTGGGTGATTCATTAGTTTCGACAAGTAGGTTAAACAAGAGAATTTGATCTCCTCGCGTATTATGGGGACATTGAGATCCCTATGAATATTACTATTGCGAATGTACCACGGAGCACCTGTTATTGACCTTAACACTGCTTTCTTTGTAATTTTTCAACATTAGATGAGGAGGCTGTTCCCCACAGTTGAATGCTGTATAGCCATATCGGTTTTATAACTGTTTTGTACAAAAGCACTTTGTACTCCAAGTCTAGAGCAGACCGTGGTCCAATTAGCCAGTACAATTGAGCTGACTTTAATTTTATTTGTGTAACCTTGGCTTCAATGTGGTGAGTCCATGTTAAGCGGCGATCAAGGTGGATACCAAGATATCTCACATGGCTTTGTTCAGGAATTTTTATATTGTTTATCTGCACGGGAGGACAATTTTCCCTTCTTAAAGTAAATGTAACGTGAGTACATTTTGTAGCATTGACTTTTATTTTCCATTTGTCCAGCCATTTTTCCAATTCGCCGATGTGAAACTGGAGTTGTTCAGAAGCTATTGAAGGCTTTGCATGCATGCTTACAAAAGCGGTATCATCCGCAAATGTAGATGTGTGAGTCAGTGCGCTCGTTGGCATATCTGCAGTATATAAAATATATAGGAACGGACCTAGAATACTCCCCTGGGGTACGCCAGCAGATATTTTTCGACGTGAAGGGATCACATCTTTAGATCTGATTTGAAAAGATCTTTCATATATATAATTTTTAAGCAGTTTGTGAACATTCGCAGGTAGTAATGTGATAATTTTGTGTATTAGTCCATCGTGCCAGACTTTATCGAAAGTTTGAGAAATATCTATGAATAATGCTGAGCAATATTGCTTGCTCTCGAAGGCCTTCCGAATAAGAGTAGTTATTCTATGTACCTGTTCGATAGTGCTGTGCTTTCTTCTGAAACCAAACTGATGGTCAGGAATAATGCAATTATCGTTAAGGTGTACTATAAGGCTTTCAAGCAATAACTTTTCAAAAAGTTTTGAGAATATAGACAACAGGCTAATGGGACGGTATGATGTCACTTGAGTGACATTTTTTCCCGGTTTTGGTATCATAACAATTTCGGATACTTTCCATGAGGTAGGGAAATATCCAATACGTAGCATCGAGTTAAAGATGAACAAAATAATTCTCAGTGCTGAATTGGGCAGGTTACTTATCATCGTGGTAGTAATTTTATCTATACCAGGTGATTTTCCTGCCTTTAGACCTTTGATTGTCGTCTTCACGGTAGAGAACCGGAATTTTATTGGGCGTGGAACCACATTATTTATAATGTTAGCACTAATAGAAGAATCTGTATAATTTTCAGTAAACACATTCTCCAAGTGATTGGCGAATGCTTCAAGTTTTTCTGACGTATTTTTTGCCCATTGACCATTCTGGAGGCGTATGGATGACTCATATGCAATAGGGCATTGCATATGTTTAACAGCTTTCCAGAGACTATATTCTGTTTTCTTAATAGGGTCTAAGTTTTTGAGATAATTTCTGAGATTAGATTCCTTATTATTTTTTAAGGCGATGTGAAGTCTTCTTTGGCACTGATTAAGTTTAACCTTTATGTATGGAGATCGCGATTGTTGCCATTGACGCCTGAGTGTTCTCTTTTCTTTAATTAGAGACTCAATGTTCCTAGGACATTTCGAATTTTTGTAATATCCCAAGGTGACAGGGAATGTAGAAACTTTGACAGCATCTTGTAAGATATCCGTAAATATATCGACAGCGGATTGTATTTCATGGTAATTTTTCAATGAAATGTTTTGTGGCAAGTGTGAGCTGATATACATTTTATACTTTAACCAGTTCGTCATCTTGTTAGGGAAACAAGAACAATAGTTTTCCAATTTATTTGGGGTTTCTAATAACGTTAAAACTGCAGGTAAGTGGTCTGACGAGAGGTCCAGTGAAGGGATCACTGAAATAAATTCTCGTTTTATGTTTTTGATTACAGCAAAGTCAATTAAATCGGGAATCTTATTGAGGTCTGTAGGCCAATAGGCAGGTTGGCCACTAGATATGGCATCTAGTCTGTTATGCGATATTGCTTTTAGCAATTGTCTGCCTTTGGGAGTAATGAGGCGAGAGCCCCAAAATGTATGTTTTGCATTATAATCACCAGCTGCTATGAATCTTGGTCCAAGAGTTTTAAAATAATCGAGAAACTGCTCTCGATTAATATTATACCTAGGAGGACAATATATTGAAGATATTGTAACTCGACTATCAGGTATATTTATAGAGGTGGCCTGGATATGGTCCTTTTTGTATTCTGGCATTGGGAAATGTCTAATATTTTTTCTCACTAATATGGCTGTTCCACCACAGGCTCTGCCACTTGGATGTTTTGTATCGTAAGTGTAGTATCCGTTAATACAGAAACAATTCTTTAGGGTAAAGTGTGTTTCAGAGACGAGTAGTACGTCAATTTCCTGAAGTAGCAGGAATTGTTCAACTTTATTCTTTAAAATCAAAAACAAATCCTTTCAGGTATAACACTTTAAATAATTTAAAAATCATTTTAATTTGTTTTTTTTACTGTATGAAACATTTGTAATACGCCAATATAAGCGCATCTCAAAGACCTTTCACATGATATCAAAATTAATCACCATTCCTGTACCTAGAATACAAATAAAATAAGAAAATCTTTAAAAAAGTTTCTTTTTATAATTTGATGCAAATTGTATTATGCAATACGATTTTCGGAAATTTATTTACGAACTTTCGTAAATATTTTTTTTATTTTGGGATTTTTTTCTTTTTTGAAAAATCAAAAAATTCCATTCGTAACCATGTATTATGAAAAAATATGTCAAATTCGTTATTAACGTTCGTAAATCATACGAATGATTTTTTGCTTCCGAAAAGAGGGAAAAACTATTTTAAAATGTAAGTAAATAATAAATATTTATACACTTGTTTGGTACTCGCCATCTTAAGTTTGAACTGTGAGGTTGTATTTTCGCATACGCTATGCAAATTTTTTGAGAAAGACTAACATACGCCTTTTTGTATTGGTTTTACATTGTGGGAAAATTTTTTGATAAAATATTTTCCTTTGGATACTTTTATCTTTGACCTACTTTTTAATTGGAATTGCTGATTTGCTTTGATAATATTTGTAATGCCAACCTTTGTCTTCGGAACACAATTTTAAAATCCAGGAACATAAGGGCATTTATCCCTAGAACATTTTTGGAAACTTTCAGTGTCATAAGAAACATACCCCTGACTTTGTCGGATGATGAAATAAAGAGAAATATTATCTCTTCGGTGAAAGTTGCATCTGTTAATCGCTTTATGAAGCATAATGGAGCACAGGATGAAACATTTACACCTACATTTGCGGTGAAAATTGGATTTTATGGCAATGAACTGCCTAATGAAATTATGATTAATTACTTTATTATCAATTCGATCATTTTTATCCTGCTTTCAGATTGTGTAGAAACTGTGGTCGTTTGGGTCATACTGAACGAGGTTGTCGAGCTGGGAAAAGGTGCCTTAGTTGCGGCAGGCCTGGAGTATGTAACCCTGAGTGTGGTATTTTTAGGTGTATTCTGTGTAATAGTGATGAGCACAATGCCAGACAGAGAAACCGAAATAGTGCATGGGAAGAGGAAACTAATATTAAAAAGATCATGACAATTAAAAAGCTCTCTCGAAAGAAAGTTTTTGAATCTTATAACCGGAATAGATTTTCTGTTTTAGAAAACTATGATGGTCATTTCCCCATAATGCAGCCTCAAAGAAATCCTATTAGTAAAAATATTGATTTGGAAGTCAACAGTATTCTTACTCCGAGGATGTATAGTAGCGTTCTCAAGGGACCTAGACCATCTCCAAGAGTTGCTCCTGTGCAAAAGTATAATCCCCAGGACCATGCCTGGGTTGGTTCTATGGGTGGAAAGGGTTTTGAAAAACCGGATGTTAACAAGATCTCCCTTTTGTAGAAAACTATGACGGAATTTATTACCTTTATTGTCTTATTGCTGTTTCGCACTTTGGAGATCGTTTGAATAGAATATATAGAGATATAGATTGTGACAAAATAACAAACGCCATCATGGATAATCCGTATAATGAAAATACTCCAATATAATTGTTAGTCTCTCAGAGCTAATTGTAAGAACATTATTTTTTGAACAACAGAGAATTTGATATTGCAATTTTAAGTGAAATTTTTTCACATTTGGATTCACGTCAGTCACCTAAACTTTTGAATTTTAAACTTGTCAAGAAAACCAGATCGAATGGATATGGCGGTGTGGCCAATGCACAACATAAATTCAATTCTTTTTAAAAAGATTAATTATGCTTATCTACGAATTTTGTCATCTGCTCAGTATTATTGAACCTTCCATGTCTGTACCTGATTTTGCTTGTGAAATGCAAAAACTTTTCTCCTTTGTTGAGACTCTCTTAATATGTGGTGATTTTAATGCCAGGGCATGTCAATGGGGTGATACTGTTGTCTCGTCCTCGTCCAGAAGAAAGAAGTTGGCTGAACTTGTTTGTACATCTGATTTTTGCTGTTTAAATGTTGGTTTGCCGACATTCAGACATGAACTTAGCTCCTGTGGTACAGTTCTTGACTTAATTTTTTCTAATGTGAATATGTGTATGGAGTGCAATACAATCCCAATTTTTCTTGGTGGCAGTCATCACTATCCAATTTCGATAGTTGTGGATTCTATTCGCTTGAATTCCCTATTTTTGACAAGTTAATTTTTTCTCTGAACAATGTCCAGCTTGATCCTGATGTTGTGATGATAGTGTCAACCATTGCAGATGAGATTAAAAGTGCAACATATAAAATTAATAAATTTGTCTCGTTTAGATCAGATATCCTTACTTACCGCTCTTACTGATGCCTTTTTGGAGTGATTATCGCAATTTTCGTCCTATTATCAACCTTATGATAAAGAACAGAATGGTAAAGGACTGTGATGAGAACCATATTCTTCCTAATAGGACGTTTGCTAACAGGAAGCATAAATCGGCCTCCACATGTCTAAATGAGATTTTACTTTGTATTGCTACTCTTAAGAAAAATGGCTTCAAAGTTATTTTACTGGCACTCGACATCAATAATTCTTACAACTGTGTGAACAACAACTTACTCACTAGAATGTTATTGGATGGTGACTTTTCTGTAGTTTATGTTAAATGGATTCATGATTTTTTGGCAGATTATTCTTAAACTGGGGGTTGACCAAGTTGTCGTTTCTGATGGTCTACCACAGGGCAGTTGCCTGTCTCCTTTTTTGTTCAACCTGTACGGCTTCTTTGCACAATGCTGAAGATGAATCGACCAAGATTTTTCAATTTGCTGATTACTTTTTCATACTTACTTTTGATAAGGACTTTGATGTCGCTGTTAACAAGATGAACTCCAAGATTCGTGAATTTTCTCAGAGATGTCTTAATTTGAATCTCTCTTTTAATCTTGATAAGACAAAGACAATATACATTGCCAAAGGCTGTCGTAAAGATGTAGTTATATATTTGGATAACACTCGTATGGAGCAAGTTAAAAAACTAAAATTTCTTGGGCGTACAATTAATATGTCGTCGACAGTTGGTGATCATTATCAAAGAGTTCTATCTGAGGCAAGGAATAGTACTAATTTTATTAAATCGTTAACAACAGAAAAAGGCGGTTTACAACCTAAAGTCTCTATAAATTTCTTCAAGAGTTTTGTCAGATCCAAAATTTAGTATTCGAGGACTACAACTGCTCATTCGCCTACTTCGATAAATCGAAAGAAACCTTTCAAAATTCCACTTCACGTAGATGTTTGGGGCTGACAAGATCCACTCCAGTTTATACAATATATGCTTTATCCGGTGACCTTCTGTAAAATTTGGAGCGAAACTTCTCACTGCGAAAGAAATCATTAATCAGAATTTTTTTAGTTATTCCACATATCGTAATTTAAACAACGATGTTTCGGTGAAGTCAAGCTATGGTTATATTTTAAATCAATATGCTCACATTTTTGGTCGTATTAACGTTAACTGTTCGTTTGTTAAAAGTGGTCAACTGCGAATTCCGACAGGAAATTCAACCTTTCGAGGGAACAAATAATGTCGACTTATATGGAGAAGATATATAATTATAGGCTAAATGAATTCAATATATATGGTACTGATGCCTCTCTGGCTGAAAATGCTGCTGGCTGTGCTATTATTGATATCTCCAATGATAAATATTTGTTTAGAATTGCTCATAAAACTTCTAGTATGTTTGCGGAACTGTGTGCTATTAGTAAGGCTATCGATTCTGCTATCTCTGCTGGTGTTGAAAAGTTGGTAATTTTCACTTATGGTCTTTTATCATGTCAAGTCTTGAATTCATAACAAAATAGGAAACTTCTTTTCTAATCGTCAACATAAGCACTACGTGCTCTTGGCGTTATTACTTCAACGACGTAAAATATAAATACGTAAATATCCAGTAAACAATTTTTTCAGACATGTCTGATGTCAGAAATTTTCTGAAATAATTCTTATACTTTATCAGAATTTTTAACAAATTTCTAAATTTCCTTTAGACATTTTATAGAATAATCGGCAAACTGTTTGTTATACTTTTCTGCACATCTTCTGAAGTATTAAACGATTAACATCAGACTTGTCTGCACATTGTCGAAAGGGAATTTCAGTGTTACGACAATTATGAGACTAATCTGCACATTGGCGGAGGACAATTTGTTTTTTATACCTATACTAGCTTACCCAGTGTGCTTTGCTAGACTAAAAACCATACTCCCATATACATTTTTTTAGTTGTTATATGTATATTCCCAGATATACGACTTTGAGTATTTAATTTATATGAAAGGAGCCACGCCCAGTATTTCTAGTCGGCTTATTCTTAAACCAAATGTTCATATTGATGCTAAAGCTACTTGTACAACAGTTCAGGTCTCCTACCTGTTGTAGTTTCCATAGGTGTCAAGTTGTTCTTGCAAAATTTGCTGATTCTATCTCTAATAGTTTCCCAGATATACGAAATTTTGTATTTTATTCTTATGGGGGTGGCACGCCACCTAATGCTCATCCGACAATTTATTACACTAATGTTCACATGGATGTCCAAGTTGTTCTTGCAAAATTTGAGGATTCTATCTCTAATAGATTCTCAAATATACGATTTTTGTACTTAATTCATATGGGGGGACAACTCTGCACATTATCTGTAGGACATTTTATCAGACATTCATCCGACATCTATCAGACTTTCTTATACTTGATCAGACTTTTGAACGAACTGTCGGACATTTTATCAGACATTTATCCGATATCTATCAGACTTTCTTATATTTGATCAGACATTCGTACGAAATGTCGAATTCCGAAACCGGCAAAAAATGTTTAGTGGGTACAGAGAGATCTACGTCTCATTAAAATTGCAAATATTTTGTTTTATTATCATACAATTTTGGGAAATTGTGGTAGAGCAGAACAGTAAGTATATATTTAATTCAAAATGTTATTGTTATAAAACAAAAATTTATTTATTGTATGGGCACACTACAAACAACACATTAATGCTATGTTTCCACTGAGGCGTTTTGAGCAAATCTAGTGGATTTGGGCAAAACTAGTTGAAATCGTGTAGATTTGCCATACAGTTCTGACAAATCCAAATCTACTTAATCTATTAGATTTGATTTAAAACATGTCGAAAATGTATTTTTTCGAATAAGTTATGCTTCTGCAACACTGCGTTGTGTCTAGGATAAGCAAATAAAACTATAGGCTATCCATTCAAGTTGAATGTTTTTCATAGAAAAAATTACTTTTCATTTCGAAATAAAAACAAAACAAATTATAATTTTAAAATTAGTGGTATTTAATAAACAAATTTATACTTTTACAACTGTAATTTTGTATTTTTAATGTATAAATTTGAAGGAAATTAACATTACTGTTGTTATATCAAAATAAATGACAGGATTTGTTCGAAAATTCGAATATCAAAAACTATTAAGCTCAGTGGAAACACCTGAAGAGGTTTACGCAAATCTAGTAGATTTCAAGCCAGTGGAAACATAGTATAAGATGAAGTCCCGCAGAAACAAAAGTAGCCTTTCTGGAACAGGTGGAGGGCCAAGTAATTTCTGCTCCCTAACACAATTAGAGCTATTAACGAAAGTGTCGATGGTATGAGTGGAACTTATCGATATGGAGCTAAGAGAAATAGGACATCAAGTGCATGTGCTACTGAAGCTCCTACTCAAGTAGATGATATTGATATGGATACCACAGCAAATGACCCAGCTGAAAATTTAGCTGACATTTCAAACGCCCAGAATACAGTCACTCCACGTTCTCGGCGTAATATAAATTTTTCCAACAAGGACAATCTCTTAAAACAAGTGGAAATACAAATAAAATATCAAGAAAATTCATTGGTTCTATTAACAAAAATTGACGAAAACCAAAAATGTTCCAACAATTAATTAAAGGAAATAAATAAAAATCTTTTAACTTTAAATAAATATTTAAAATGTAGCTATGAGTACAAGATACAAGAAAGAAAAATTAGAATTTATGAAGAAAAATGAAATAGAAAAATCAAAAAGGAAAATTGCACAACTTGAACTTAAACAAAAAATATTCGAACTGGAAGCAAAAAAAAAAAAAAAACACTGTGAAAAATTTTATCTTAAGACCTTATTAGTAATCGTTATCAATTTTAAAACTTTCAAAACAACTGAAGTATTATAAACCTTTTTGAAATTTAATATAAATTTAGTAACTGAATTGTTTTATGTTTTTAATAAATATATTATTGAAATTTAGTATAAACGTTTTATTAACTTCTTGTCATATTATTTTTAATTTCTAATTTTTTTTGCAATATTAGAAAAATTACTTTCTATATTACTTTCGATATTGTTAATGTTTAAAGTTATACTGCTTATATACACGAGTCTTACACCCAATTTACATGATGATTTTTTTTCATGTTTGCCCAGACGTCTGTTTTCATGTTTGTCGATGATTGGAGGTGAGCGGGGTAGAGAAGAATGGGGGGTAAGAAAACAAACATGATTTGGGATTTTCATGATTGTTTTTGACATTCCTCTTTAAACTCATTCGTACTGTTGATATTATGCTCATGTAAAAAAATAATTATGTCTTTTTTTTACATGAAAACATTAAAATTTGCATTAAAAAAATACTATAGCGTGTTATTCAATTTTTTTAAATCAAATTAAATGGTTTTTATGTTAAAAATTTAATTTTGTTTTTATTACGAATAAGTAATTAAAAAGGATTATACAATTAAACATCAAAAAAAGACATGCATAGTTGCATGTAAAAAATCACCGTATAAATGTTCATGATTTTTTGGAAGATTCTCAAAAGAGAATTGGAAAAAACAGACGTCTGAAAAGTCTTCACGTAAATTGCGCCTTACTTAATATTCTTGTTCCATTATCACCAGTTTGGAACTTTTCTTTTAAATATTCTCTCTCCTTTGATAAATTCCAACGCCCATTCCATAACTCCCATTAATAGCCCTAATGTACATTTCATGATCACATATCTTTAAATTAGTAGCATTGAATTATTATTATTATTTGTATATATATGTATGTCCACACTTACGGCCATAGCATTAATACTATGTTTCTGTTTCCTGTTGAAATACAAATGTTCATTATTATTTGGCCTTATAATTTGAATATGAGTTCCATCAACAGTTCCAATTACACCTGGTATGGAACATTTAGTATTAAGAAATCTTTTGGCTTCCATCTTTTTCTCTTCACACATTTCGAAAACAATATGCTTGGTACAAAGATTTGTTTGGATAGCTTCGCAAACTTCACCTGAAATGGATGATTGCGAAATACTTAAGAAACGATCTTGGCCTATTTGGTGTTAATATCCACCTTGTGGCAAAAACTTTAATGCGGCTGCCAATTTTAACATTGAAGGAATAAATGTAGATCTTTGTGCAGCCTTTAAATCATCTTTAATCGAATTGAAAACGTACATAAATGACACTTTATTAAGTCGGAATTTTTTCACGAATCTGAAAGCAATAATAATACATTTAATTAAATTTTAATATTTACAATTCTCAAATAAATACTTACGCATTTTCATTAATATCCATAATATTTGAATTATCATCGCTTTCCCACAATAACGCACGATCCATTTTTTATATAAATTAAAATTTCTTTAACGTTCTTTATTTTTCAAAAATATTTTAACATGTGCAAGAAAATGGACGAATTTTCAAAGTGCTGTAATTTTTTTACATATCTAAACTTGGCAGCACCTGCAATTTCCCTTGAAAATGTAAATACAACTCTGTATATCTTCCGAACGTATTAGACCACTTTTAGCTGAGGGGACACCAACGTGCGACACGAGCCATGCGACACGAGTTTGTAGGCAAAGGGGATAAAGACGAAAGGGAAGTAGCAAAATTCGCACGCCTTTTGAGTCTCCATCTAAACGTTAATTATTTTATGAAGGGCATTTGAAAAAGAATGGAGAAAAAAACCTGCAGCATGACCCCTCAACTAAAAGTGTTCTTACACAATACGAAAGTATTTTCGTTTCGAATCGAAATATACAATAACCCTCCAGATCACCAAACATTGGCCTAAGGAGAAAAATGTTGGGAAACGGTATCTTTTAATGAACCAAACTTTAATTTTCGGTGGGAACTTCAGTACCTTATAACGAGATGTCAAAAGTTAATTTATTTTTAATAGCAGTCGGCGGTAACATGGCAGCCAGCATATCCATTAGCATTATTTTGCACTGCAAAATTTGTAGACACAAGCACACCCCGCTGCATTGTAAAATAATATCAATTGTGTGTCATTGCCAGTCAAGTGCTTGCCTTCTCGCTTCTGTTAAAGAAAATTTTTCATATATACTAAAATATACAATTTTTGTTCAATAATCCCAGATTTTTTGGTGACTTTTTGAATTTCACTTTTTTCAGTTGTTTATCAGGGGGAAGCTATAAAGTATTTAAGTATTACGAAATTTGCAATTTTTATTTCCTGTATATGTACTAAAATATAAACCTACATATAATACTATGCCTTACAATTAAATAAGATTTAAGTTTGTCAAATTGTAAGCAAAAGTGTTCTCGTTTGAAAGAACTAAAATAATGTATTTCCGAAACCCTTTATTCGTCTTACTTCCCTTGTTGTGAATTTTTATAGAATTTTCTGATCAATAAAAAGCTGTTACGATCAAAATCAACTGTTGTGGAATTTCACGAAATCAATTTTCCCTTCGAAGGGAATGAAAATTTAAGAAGAAACAAATTTCAATTCTTTTGGCGAAAAAGGTGAATATTTTTTATTTTAGTTTTAAAGTTTTAAAATAACTCATCACACTAAAAGATCTTTGAATTACTCATAATATGGAAAGTTTAGAAAAAGGAACTTTAATAAATTTGTACGGCAGAGTAATGTCTAAAATTATTCCGTTTTATCTTTATTGTTAAACTAGAATAATTTTATGTTATTAAAAAGATTTTTCATTTCTTGAAAAAAGCGCTAACTTTTTCCAAAAAAGCGCTAAGAAGAAAAAATTTCAATTTTCAGTTTACCTTTCCAGCTAACGTTTCTTTATATATTTAAATATTCGTTTAAAAAATAAATTTTCAAATTAAAATTTCTAACATTTGTGTGCACTGAATACCAAGAAATAAAACTGTGACTTTTTTACAACAATAACGTTACGTTCTTCTCACAGACGAGTTCTGTGTAACTCCAACACACATGTAAGAATGTCACTCTCTCTCAAAACTTTGTCGCGAAAATTCGTGGCTTATAGCACATTAAAGTATTTTTTATCACTTAACGTTATATTTTATTATTTTTTTTGCACAATTTAAATACCCGAAAAGAATCTATTTTTTACAAACGAAAAAATTATTTTTTATTTTTTTTGTTGAAATTAACACTGAAAAAGACAATGTTGTAAATTTTCGTATGGTACAAGAAAAAAATATTTCAAATAAATTATTTATTTTTTCAATATTGCAGATTAAAAAGCCAACATACATTCTTCTAAAATGTTTATAGATAAATTATGTTGCAAAATATATAAAGAAATTTTTTAAAATAAAAGTTTAAATGTGATAATTTTTTTCAATGTTTTTAAATCTGTGTATTAGAATTCTACTAATACATTCATAGAAATAGGTACCGACTGACAGACATAGGTACTTTTTGACAGCGTTTCACTTCTTGATGTTCAGTTTTTGTATGCCTTAGTTTTCATAGAACAAATTTTATTTGAGTATTTTCGAAATGGTAGGTATTAAATACACTCAAAAAAAATAATATGTACTAGCCTCACAATTCTCTGCTGGCGTCTTAAATGGTTTTTGGAGTCCAATAATTCTTTAAGCCCTTTCCAGTCGGCATTCCGACGTTCAGAATCTACAACTGATAATGTAATTTCCCTCTGGTCCGCAGTGAATCTGACATTTCTTCGACAATGTGAACATTGACATTTCTTCGACAATGTGAACATTGACCTCCTTTGCCTGCAGCTTCAGGAGATGAATGTCTCCAATGGATTTTGTAATATAATTGTCTATTTCGACAGAAGATTTTGGAGGTTATGAATGACCTTACTGTAACAGAACGCAGATATTTTACTGGCGTCCCACAGGGATGCGTTTTGAGCCCCATATGCTTTAATGTTTATATTATCAAGGTTTTTTCTGATTTACCTAACGAAGTCCAAGTACTTGGATATCGGTCTTGGGGATCGCATCCCACATGCCTCATACAACTATATATTGGGCTCACTAGAAAAATTTTTGAATACATGTCACCTATTTTGCTTGTTTGTACTGATGCTGATCTCCTTAAGATACAAAGAATCCATTGGAAATATCACCTTGGGTGCTATGACGTCTACACATACTCTTTGCCTGAAACAGCTGGCGTATTGCCTATTCCTGAACGTCTTGAATATCTGACGAATAAAAAAATGGGAAAAGTGGTCTCGAACGAGAGTCATCCTGCCGTAAGTTTATTCTCCTCGCTTTTTGGATTAGACTCCTCAAAATTACCAGTACTTGCTAATGATGCTTTGGGTACCGTCTTAGGTGTTTTAGTGTCCTTATCAGGGCCGGTTTTGACATCCCTTTCAATCGGCGCCTCCCCAATTTTGGAAAGGGAAGCTGCAACTTCTTTTGGCGAGTTAGTGGTTCTTCCTCGCTTCTAGGATTTGACTCCTTAACGTTATCAGTAATTGCTACTGATGCTGTGGTCGTAGGTATTTTAGTGTCCTTATCGAGGCTTGTTGTAACAGCCCTTCCAATCGGAACCTTCCCAATTTTGAAAATTACAGCTTTAGAGGCGAAGTAAGCCCTACCTTTATTCTTGGCAAGACTAGCCATAGATTTCTGGTCGATACCTATTACAAATAAAGTTCCCTCAGGTTCTTCTTTCCTGTAAAAGACATCCCCCCCTAGGAGAAAACTAAATAAATATTATAAAAAACCAAAAATTCTCTGGAAAGGTGGCAGATTCAATTAATCTTCTAGCAGACGACGCCAGCTGGGAAGACATCAAAACTCAACTAATAAAGGATTTAGGGACAAAAACGTCTTACTCATCGGTAATTAATTATTGTAGAAGTATAAAGATAAATAATTTAAATGAATTATTTAAAGTATTTATAGAATCTAAGTATATACTTAATGACACTTATCTGTACGACGAATTAAAACCTGACTTATACTCTCCACAAAACGTTGACAGAGACTTAACGGAAATATTAATAGATAAAATAGACGGACAATTTAGATCTTGCATTATAGACGAATAACCAACACTGGACTCACTTTATAAACGATTTTCTCAATTAAAATTACTATATGATAAAAGGACTATAGATTTTAAATAAAAAAAAATAACTAATGCACAAAACAACACAAACATCCATAACAAAAAGAAAGAAACTGGTAGCAACTTTAATAACAAACAACATTTTAATAAGAAATCTTCAAATAATTTTCAAACCAACAAAGTTCAAAACAAATATGTCGGTAACCCTCAGTCTCAACAGTACAGAAATAATCCCATACCTATGGATATAGGAAATTTAGAAGACAATGCAGAAAATGAAGTAAATTTTTTTTCAAGCCCACAAAACGATTGGTAACCCTAATTGATTGCTTAATTGATACCGGCGCAGAAACTAGTATTATAAGACCAAATCTTTTCACAAATGAATTTGAAACACAACTAAATAGGCCTTTCATGTTCCGAACATTAAATGGAATCAACTCAACATTAAAAGGCATAGTAACTACAATGACTAAAGAGTTTAATATTCCTGGTACACTTTCGTGGAAAATAATTAACTTTACAGGCAGAAAAAATGATGCCATTATTGGCCATAATTATCATATAGTAGCATATAGGCGAAAGGGATTGTCAAAGACCTAAGTCCCCTGTCAAAAACCTAACTGGTGAGAATGTATTAGTAGAAGCACAAAAATAAACACAGTTGTTCAAAAGGTACTAAATAATAAATGTATTTCTGATACGTTATTTTTTTATGTTATTACTGGGATTTTATATACTAGTGAATGAAAATAATAGTTAATTAATTTTTTTCAGAAGATATTTCATCTTAAAACATATTATAAACACGTCTTTTTGTTATTTTTTTCTGCACTAATGTAAAAAGAAAAAAAGTATGTGAAATACTTTTTTCATTTTCAATACGAAAATTTACAACTTTTCTTTATTCAGTTTTAATTAAAATGAAATGTCAAAGAATAAAAAATATTTTTTTTCGTTTGTAATATATAAATTATTTTCGGGGTTTTAAATACAATAAAAGTGTCGCAAAAAATAATAAATATTAAGTTTAAGTGATAAGAAAAAGTATTAAGTGCTAATATCCTCGCAATTTCGCGAAGAAAATTTGAAGTTTTGTGAATGAGTTTAGTTCTCTCAAGTGTGTTTTATTCTCTCAGAACTCGTCTGTGTGAAGAGAATAACAAATTTTGTTTGACAACCCCTTCAGTTTCGCCTATATCCCTACAATATGATAATTATCTTATTCCATTGAAAGCCAAAATAGATTTAGAAATAAAATATATTGACATATTCGAAAAGAAAATCCTATTTGATGAGGAATCTCCATATCATATAAACAGTATCCAAACTATTAATGATGCTAAATTTCAAAATATCAACGAATTAAATTTAA